TCCTCCTCCTCCTCCTCCTCCTTCCTCGCCCGGGAGCTCACGTCTCGAGGGGCAGCACGTGGGGCCCCGAGATGGAGTAGCGGTAGATAAACATGAGGAACTTGCGGAAGACGTCGAAGAAGGGCCAGTGGGAGAGGACACAGATGCTCTTGCGGGTCTGCAGAGAACGTCCAGGCACGGGCCGTCGATCCACCACGCTCAACAGACCCAACCGCAGGCTCTGCTTCTCCGACAGCCGCTCCCGGGGAAACGCCTCGTGGAACTGGATGGCCGCCCCGTAAACCTGGGGAGGAAGGAAGGAGGTTGGAGGGTGGAAGAACCAACCCCAGCACCATCATCACCATCATCACCATCACCACCAACATCATCATCACCACCACCACCACCACCATCATCACCACCACCATCATCACCACCATCATCATAACCATCACCACCATCACCACCACCATCACCACCACCAGCACCACCGACTGCTGACGGCGTAGAATAAAAGCCATCACCAGGCAGTAGCTGATTGGCAAAATATTCACCTGCTACATGCCTCTTGCCCCACGTGACTCCAGAAGTGACAACAAATTATCCCAAGCAAGAGCGAGGGAGCACCATCATCACCATCATCACCATCACCACCAACATCACCATCACCACCACCACCACCACCATCACCACCACCATCATCATCACCATCACCACCACCATCATCATCACCACCACCATCACCACCACCACCAACATCATCATCACCACCATCATCACCACCACGACCATCATCATCATCACCACCACCATCATCACCACCATCATCATAACCATCACCACCATCACCACCACCATCACCACCACCATCATCACCACCATCACCACCATCACCACCACCATCACCATCAGCATCATCATCACCACCATCATCATCACCACCATCACCATCACCACCATCATCACCATCACCACCACCATCACCACCACCACCATCACCACCACCATCACCATCACCACCAACATCATCATCACCATCACCACCACCACCATCACCACCACCACCACCACCACCATCACCATCATCATCACCATCACCATCACCACCACCACCACCCTTAAAAACTCAACCTGGACATCCCCCCCCCCTTCTTTTGCCCCATCTTGCCTTGTCCCCCGAAGCGCCGGTCAACACGAAGGTGGAGAAGACGGGCAAGGGGTACTTGGTGTCGGCCGGCCAGCTCTCGATGGTGGCCCCCATGGGCAAGCAGAAGACGGGCACCGAATCGGGGAGGGGAAAGGCCTCGCTGTCCTGCTCGGGGTAACGTCCCAGGAGCCCTGGATGGAGGGAGAAGATGGAGAAGAAGGAGCTTGTCCACCATGGGGTGGTGGTGTTGACCCCTCACCCTTCATCTCCTAGGAGAACCCCCTCAACCTGCTTCGTAGACCAACGTGTTGGCCTTGGCCATGGCGATCTTGTAGCACAAGAAGAGGGCAGGACCCCACTGCAAAAAGAGAGAGACTTGGGGGTCAGTGTGGGGCAGAGACATCCCGATGGTGATAAAAAGTAGGAGGGACAACCCCATAAACCCTCCTGAGATACCCACCATGCTGGTGTTGAGGTTCTTGTCCACCCGGCAGAAGGTGTGGGGGGTGCTCTCCCCTTTGCTGGGCATGATGAGGCAGATGTCGGTGACCCCCAAGGTGTTGTGGCCGTGGGGCTCGGCCGCCCGTCTATAGGTCAGGAAGGTCCTTTGGTGGCCGGGCCCCCCAGAATTGAGGTTGGCCGAGCGGCTGTAGGGCGTGGTGTCCAAGATCTTGTAGCCCGGTTTGGGGCGGTCCTTGCCCTCGTAGTGCACCCTATTTTTTTTTTTTGGGGGG